CCCCCCCCCCCCCCCGCCTCTTCACACCAACTGGGAACATATCAAAGGGGTTTAATAACTAACTCATTAACTGGCAGCTGGTCTGACACACAAGAACAACTTTGTCGGGTCATTTCAACTAAAGTGAGAGGCAGATAGGGCTACCGGTCTTGGGCAACACCAGCACACTGACATCTCTAACCGGATCAAGCCAGGCCCAGCTTCCAGAGGACTCCTCCGCGGACCTCCCGCTCTAGCGACGGCAGGAGAACCGATCCAAGCGGGGAACACCGCTCCGTTCCTGTTCTTTCCTTAAAAGGAGCAACACCTCTGATTAAACCCCTACATTATTAGAAGGCATTTTAACTAGATTTCTGATTCATAAATATAGTGTAAATGATTCTATTCTCGCAATAAGTTGATAACCAGCTGTACCATAAGCCAGGACCTGGAAGCCTCCTTCAAGACTCGGTAGTCCTAATTTTACAGACGTGGAAACCAAAGTGCAGAGAGTCAAAGCCACTCGCTCAGGGCCACACAGCAAGCGGGCGACAGAATTCAGCGGCAAACTCCGTGGACCAGCGGCCGGGTGCCAGGAGGGAAGGCGCCCATCACTGTGGCATTTCGGCGGGATTTTGCGAGCATCTGAACCGCAAGAAATTTCCCGACTGGGTTTGGGCGTCGCTGAGAAAAGAAGCTCGGGAATGAGGGGGCCTGGCTGGGCATGCGAGTTTTGCGTTAGAGACCCGCCTGGGGTGCCGAGAAGCCTCCACTGCTCCAGGACGCTGAGGCTGGGATTTTGGCGAAGGTTCCCGGCGACTTTCAGTGCAGTCTGCGAATTAGGCCCGGTTCTTGGCCAGGCCTGTCGGCGGGAAGTGGGGAGGCTACACTCCGAGGCCCTAACCCTGAGCGCCTAGCCGCACCTATGCGGAGCAACGCGCACTGCCTGCTGCAGCCGGGACCCGGCCGGTCGCGGACACTGCGCAGCTGGCGGCCGGATCGGCCTGGCAAGGCCGCGCATCCTCCGGCCTCCGGTCCTCGAGAAGCGCCGCGGGCTCCACCTGCCCGCCAAGGCAGGCGGGCGAGGGTTGCCCGGCCCAGAGGCGCAGCGGGGCCTCCGGGTCTCCCCGCTGAGCGGAGGCGGCCGCGGCTAAGTCTCCCAGCTCCTCCACGGAGACCGGTGCTCAGGCCGGGGAGGCAAGCGGTGCCGGTCCCCTTGGAACTCGGAGCAAGAAGGCCTTTCTGTTCACCTGGATCCATGGGTCAAGGGTCAGGGTGGCTGCAGGCGTCCCTAGGCCGCCCTGCGACGCCCACAAAGCCAACATCCCTTTTCCTCCCGATGTCGGAGCTCAGGGTTTGGAGGCCAGAGCGCGGGTCCTCGCTGCTGCGCTACCCGTGACTAATTTCTCTGCTGCTGTGAACAGTAGTTTTTCCAACTGCAAAGTGCGGAGGGGCGTCCCAGCCTGGGAGAGATGTTCAGTCACTACAAACCACACAAGGTGTGCAAGGCGTGCAAGGCGTGCCAGGTGTGCCAGGCGCTGGTGCTGCTCGGGGAGCTGAGGCAGGGGAGTCATTCCGACGTGCTGGAACTGAGGGCCCGCCCCTCTGTCGGTCTGTCTGTCTGGCTCTGTTCCGACCGGTCCCCGTCACATCCCCGTAATTACAGACATCACCGGCTGCAAAGCCTCCCGGTGGCCTAACTACGCGTCCTGGGCCAGGCAGCGTGGACCCTGTTTGTCGACCCCTGGGGCCCAGGCCTCCCCACCAGAGCGCAGTGCCCCAAAATCTGCGCGTGGGGAGATCTCACACAACCAGCCTTCCGGGCCGAGAGGCGGCCTCTTGCCCCCGTCAGGGGTCTGTAGAATGGGCGCGGCTTTAGAGACTCTCCAGCCGAGGCAAGGGCAGGCTGCAGGGAAGGGCGGCCAGGAGCAGCCTCCACCTCTGGCCCGGAGGTCAGCCGCTTCTCACCTACCGCAGCCGGACATGCCGTCCGCACTCGCACAGTCCGCGGAGCCTCGGCCCCTTTCTCGGGCCCAGGTGGGCCCTAACGTTGGGTGAGGACCTCGAAGGAGGGGCCCATGCGCGCCTCCCAGCCTCCTCCGGGCCTTCTTTCCCGACTAAGCTCGGTCTCCTCGGGAGGCGCCTGCCTGGTCCGGACCTTTCCGCGCCCCGACTCTGCCGCAGAGCCCCCCGCAGGAGGGGCTGGGAGCGGTGTCCTCAAAGCCGCGTCCTGGGGCTCTTACCGCGCAGCCACAGTGAAAAAGGCGACCTCCAGGCTTTGGCTTTTCACATCAGGAGGGAGGGGTAGGCACTGAACACCCTCGCATTGCTCAGCAATCGCTCCCACCCTCTGGGGGCTCCCGCACTGCTCTGGGTGGGCTCCCAGTCGCCACCAGGTCCCACCCGCGTGGGCTCAGCGCCCTAACGAGAAGAGGCTCTTGGCCCATCTGTGGCCGGGCAAGCCCTGGTTGGGGCAGAGCGCTCAGAGAAGAGGAAAGCGGGAGGCACCTGGTGGGGAGACACTGGGCCCCCCCAGGGCCGCGCTGAGACTAGGTCCCCATCCCCAGGCTTGCCCGGCTCCGAGGGGCTTTGCAGTCACATACCCTTTGCACAAAGCGAGGCAGCAGAGAGGAAGAAAAACGCACGCCCCACAAAAGGCCTAAGACTGGAGGGTCGCCCTGGCCAAAACAACAAAAATAATTTAGGAAAACAAAATCCGCTATGCTTATCATTATGGAGAAATAGAATAAAAGTGAGGGAAATTGGAAAGTGACAGCGGTTCCCGAAGAAAGGGCTGTTTGGCCAGCAAAGGCACAGAAAGTCGCTCGGGGTCTTAGCTATTCAAATACCCAGTCAGAGGGCCAACCTTCTGCATCCCGGTGGCGGATGACGACGTTCGCCCGGCTTCTTAGCGGAGAAGACAGGCGCATTTCAGGAAGACACCCACGGAAGAGGCGCGAAGCTCCGAGTCACCCTAGGCCCTCTCTGGAGGCTTTAAGTTCCCGGGAACGCCAGCTTCGGGATCAGTGGGGCTCGGAGGGGGAGGTGAGCGCAGGAACGCAGGGAGCTCCAGCTGTGTGTCTTAGGCTCCCTCCCCTTCCTCGCCGGGCCAGCGCAGGCAGCCCGCGGTCCGCTTGCAGCGAAGGCGCCCCAACAGCGGAGCGCGCAGGGCTGCGTGGCCCCGGGAGGCGGAGAGAGGAGGGGCGGGGCTGCTAAAGGCCCCCGGGGACCGCGCCCTATGGGTTTCGTCTCAGGGAGGTACTGGGAGCCTGGCCTGGAAAACTCTGAGGAGGGGGACAGAGACGGAGACAGGGGCAAAGAGATTCTTAGAGACGACAAAGAGGAAACAAAAAGGACAGAAAAAGAGAAAGGAGAGAAAGAAACCTAGAGAGAGAGGGAGTCAGAATCAGAAACGGAGGGAGAACGGGAGAGGACGAGGGGAAATGACAAAGTCAGAGAAACTAAAAGCACCAGAGAAGAAACTACTATATGGAGAAATATAAAACTGTAAAGAAAAGCCAAAAGATATATCAAAAGATACAGAGACCAAGAGCTACATAGAGGAGGAACTAGAGAACGGAGTAGAGAAAGAAACGGAGAGGCCAGAAGCAAGCAAAGTTTTTAAAAGACCGAACGAGAGAATGATGAAAGGAAAAAGCAGGAGGAAACGTTCACAGGCGCTTCTAGTATTTGTCTTTGTTGGAAGGGGCCTCCCGCTGCCAAAACCATGATCCCCAAACTTCCTTCCTTTGGGTCCAGGTAAAGCTGGGCGGACTGGGCCCCACCGCTTTCACACCTGGACTCAGGGTTCGGGCCTTCGCGGCGCCGCCCGGCTCCAGTCCGCAGAGGCCGCAGTGACGTCACAGGACGTCACGCTCTACCTGTGGTCCCACGCAGCCTAAAAGAGCGCCCGGGTGTTGTGGGTTGTGTGCCGTGGTGGTCCCCAAACGCCGAGCGTCTGGAGGTCCAGCGTGCGCACCCTCAACCCCTACGCACAGCCCTTCTGCAATGCGCCCGGGTCCCCTACAGCCAGTCGGTGGGTCCCGCCCAGGGCCTCTTTGAGGCCGCACTGGAAAAAGAGCGGACAGTGGGCTGTGGGCTGGGAGATGGGGTGGGGAGGCCCCGAGTGCCCAGACGGTCGAGGTCACAGGGCCTACCGCCCTCCAGGTGGGTTTGACCTGGGACGGCCCGTCACTCCCCAACGCTGGCGCCGGTCTACCACCTCCGGGCCCCGAGGGCCTTCCCACGCGCACCCGATCCCGCGCGTCCCCGGACTGCGGGCGGCCGGCCGGCACACACTGACCTGCACCGCGGATCCTCCGCGGGGCCCGGGCCGGGGTTCGAGCTGAGGCGAATGCGGACGAACCTTGAAGAAGGAGACGCGCCCCGCACACCGCGGCTAGGCCTCGGCCGCCGTAGGCGTGGGGCGCAGGCCGGGGGTCACCGAGCATTATTGGAACGAAAACAAAATAAAAGCGGCGTTAAGTGAAATAGCTAACTTTTTTTATTAAATAAAACGACTTAAATAAAAGGAACGGAAAGGAGAGGAGTGGACCCTGCCTAAGCGCAGTCTTGCCCCAAGCCCCTGGCTCTTCCCCCACCACCTGGTCGGCCGCCCCTCCTCCGGAGGCCCCCGCGGGGGAAGCAGGTGGCCGGTTTGGAAAAAAAAAAAAAGCCGAAACTTTTATTATTTACATGTTTGGGCAAAAGTACAAAGTATAATACAGGCGCCCGGCCCGGGGATGCGGGCGCGGGGCGGAGAAACGTAAGGCGCTTTCTTTGTCAGGCCTTGGCCTGGGGCGGGACTGGGCGCGGGGCGGGGGCTCGGATTGTGCAGCCGCGCGGAGCCCGGGCCCAGCCCCCATCCTCGGCCGGCGGGGCTGCGGCCGCGCCCCGGGGCCTCCTCGAGCTTGGCGGCCCCTTCCCCTCTCGGCCTCGGTTCCCCCCCCAGCCCGGCTGGGGGCCCGAGGCGCCCCACCGCGCGGAGGCGGCGATCCTTGGCGACCGTGCGGGTTGGTGGCTCACACCAGAGAGGTGACGGCGGGGACTTTGGAGCTATCCTCCTCCCAGGGCTGCAGATTCTGCAGAGCAAAGAGCGACGAGTTGTGCAGACAGAGCGGGTCCGGCTGGATGGAGTCGTTGAGGCTCTTTTGGAAGGCGTCGTGTTGCAGCTGCAGCATGAGCCGGCTCGCCTGCTGCCGCTCCGCCTCCCGCTCCTCCGCCGTCTGCCGCCTGCACCGGGGGGAGGGAGAGGGACAGCACCGTCATGCACCCGGCACCGCGGGGCCGCGGCGGGGCTCCCGCCCTCCCGGGAGCCGAGGCCAACGGGGCGCCTCGAGGCGCAGAGCCCGTCTGCTTCCCCGCGCGCGCCGGGAGCCGGAGGCCGGCGGGCGCTTCCCGGGAGTGGGTTGGGTCGCTCGTTTTTGTTGTGCTCCGGGAGGTCGCCGGGAGGGGACCCCGCCCGCTGCCCACCTGCACGCCCGGGTATTGTGGCTTTGCCAACAACAAAGATTGTTTCTTTTGTGGGACAAGGGCAGGGCGTACGTGTGACCGACTTGGCCCTGCGGGCAGCCGGGGCCTGGGACTCTGAGGGTGGGCAGGCTGGCTCGGCACGGCCCGCGCGCTGTTCCCAGGCGGGGTCAGCCTTGCGCAGTTCTCCCAGGCCCTGGCTCGGACCCCTCTTTCAAGACCGCTTCGCCGTTCACGGGTTGGATGGAAACAGGGATCGGATAATCACGGGGCTGGAGTCGGGATGGGGAGCTAGAGGGGGGACCTGCAGCGCGCGCGGATTGTTGGAAATCCGCGCGGACCAGCGGAGGGAGAAGGGGAGTGTGAAAGGGGTGGGGGTGCCGAGGAGGCAGGTGAGAGGAAGCCGAGCGAGCGGAGGAGACGGAATAAAACACACAGAGTTGGAGAAGCGCGGGGAGGGCGACACAGGGATGGCCACGGAGGAGAAGTTGAGGCGCGAGGGAGTGAGGAGAGAGACACTAGCCGGCGGGAAGGAGCGGAGAAGGACGAAAATCTGGGAAGGCGGGGCGGGGGTGGGGAGCTAGGCGCGGCCCTGGCACGGCGGGGTTGGGGGAGCGCCGGAGAGGCAGAGAGCGAGCCTGCGGCGCGGGGCGGGTGAAGGGCAGGTGCAAGGTGGGCCGGGCCGGGCCTCTCTCACCGCCACTTGGTCCTCCGGTTTTGGAACCAGGTCTTGACCTGCGCGTCCGTCATTTTGAGGGACTTGGCGAGCGCCGCCCTCTCGGCCGAGGCCAGGTACTTCTGGCGGTGGAAGCGCTTTTCCAGCTCACAGATCTGCACCCGAGAAAAGGACGTGCGCGGCTTCTTACGCTTGGGCGGCGTCCTGTTCTGGTAGGGGTGGCCGATGCGCCGGGTCACCGTGAAGGGCGTGAGCGCTGCCGCCGCTGCGGAGACACACGAGGCCCCCTAAGGCCCAGCCCGGCTCCGCTGCCTTTCAGGCCCCACGCGGACCCCGTGCCGCCCAGTGGGGCGCAGAATGCTCTGCTATTTCGTTGGTCCCGCGCGTCCCCAGCGGCACCAAGCCGCTTGGGAGATGCCCCCCTGTTCCCTGGGCACAGGCTGATTTCCCCGAACTCCCTGATTCTCCTCCCCCTGCGGTTGCCCGGGCCCTGGGCGCCGAGGCCTCCGCCGCGTTTGGGCCTCCGGAATCGTTTCGCGGAGTGGAGCTCACAGGGCGCGGTGCCTCTGGCCCCGGGAGGGTCGTGGACCGGCGCCTGTTCGCCCGTCCTGCTCACCTGTGAAGCGGTCTTTCACGAAGCGGCGGCTGCTCTCCATCCAGGGAAAATTGAGGCCGCCCAGGCTGGAGACCGCGGGCACGGAGGGCATGGCGGGCAGCGCGCTAGGCAGAGGCGGCGGCACGGCTCCGGGCAGCGGCCTGTGCGCTGGCACCCGGATCACGCCGGCGGGCGCCAGGCTCAGGTTGACACTGTAAGATCCCGCGTCCTCGAAGGGCGCGCCGAGGCCAGCAAAGGAGGCGGGTAGAGACGGGTATGTGGCGCCCGGACGGCCCCCCGGGGGCCCTCCCAGGTAGCTGGCGCCGTCGGGGCCCCTCGGGGCTGGTGCGCTGTCCTGGTCCGGGCTGTTGAGGATCTGGTCGATGCCGAAACTGATGGGCTCATGCGGGTGCGGGGTCTGCGCGCTGGCGGGCGCCTCCATCCTGGGCGGGCGGAAGGGCTGGGCTGGGCTGGGCGGGGAGGCGGCTGGGTCCCCGTTACGGCGCGGCCATGGAGCGCCCGGCGCCTCTCGTCGCACTGAAACTTTGCCAAGAGTGCGCGGGCCCGACAGGCTCTGTGTCATCTTTCTTGAACCGAACCTGGAGTTTCCGCTGCTAATTCCTCTCCCGCCGCAGCCATTGGCTGCGATCAACAAGCCTCTCTCCTCCCATTGGTTCCCGGCTTTCAATAAAGGCCTAATTCATGGAAATAGGAGCTTAGGGACTGTTCCAAGGTGACATCATTTTAACAAACGAACAATAGGTCAAATTTATTAGCTGGGATAATGGGCGGCGGATATTAGCGCCCGAACCGCAGCCTCCCAAACACGAAATCTAACGAAGCTGCAATTAGCAGACGCTCCCCGCTCCTCCGGTCGGGGCAGCTTCCCCGCCGCAGCGCAGGGCCGGTCAGGGCGCTCTGCGGGTGAAATTGTCCTTTGCTGAGGGGGTTGTCGTTTTCTTCCAAATTTTTTTCGTCTGAACAAAAACCAAACCCTATGAATCCTCTCAGTTACAATGGAATTGCAACCCGGACCGACCCTGCAGATCCGCGGAAGCATCTCGGACACTCCAGCGCCGCGGGAGCAACGAAAGGGGCGCACCCCAGGGCGCAAGCTCCGCGCTCCTGGCGCGCGGGGTGACGCGAGTACCGCAGCGTGCTCCGCGCTGCCGAGGACACCGACCCGCGTGGGCAGAATTCGCCCCCGCCTGGCTTTCGGCCTCGGCGTCGCGACCACTTTGGAGACACTCCCTGGCTCCCGCTAGGCGGACGAAGAGTGACTCACAGGTGCCCACGCCTGCCCTGCCCGGCTGGGCTAGGGACCCTGGGTCGCCTGGTAGGGAGAGGGGATCCGGCCCCTCGAAGTTCGTTGCAAGATGGACGGGACTGTTGGTCGCGCGTGGGGACCCGCCCGTGGCGCAGCAGGTGTGGGGACCTAGCATTCCCAAGGGGCAAGGGCGGGGGTAGCTCATGTTTAGAGCAAATAGCGGGGTTTCTTTGGGTAACGAGAGCAGCAAGCTCCTCCCGCTCTAGGGCAGCCTGGGCGCCGGAACCACTCCTCGCTTTGCTGGCTCCCTCGGGCTTCCCAAGCAGGCCGAGGGCACGGTGGGCCGGGCCCCATGCCGGGCGGTCGCCCCCGCCCCACCCCCGCGCGAGCTTCAGCTGTCCCCTCTGGAGGAGAAACAGACCCGTTTTCTACCCGCTAGTTCTTAAATTGTTGGGTGCAAACTGACTGCTACACTCCTGGCCAGGCCTCTCCCTCGCGCTCCCCTCCTTGCGGACGTGGTGAGAGGTCGGATGTGCGGTTGCCCAGAAATGAGTTTAAATTGGGGCCGGTCACTTCCTAGCTGAGTGACCTTGAGCAAGTGACTGCGTGTCTTAGGCTTTGGTTTTCTTTTGTAAAAAGGGCTGCGCCCATTGCGGGGTTGTTGTGAGCGGGGAGTGAGGCGTTGAGAGCGCAGGGCTTAGGGCCAGGCACGCAGTAGGCGCTGAGGCCGCCTTCCCACCCTGCACCGTCCCGCCCCCCAGCGTGATGGTTGATGGATGCTTCTTATGACTCTTGTTTATTTGTTTGCAGTTTTATTTGCGGAGGCTCAGCATCTTGGAGAGAAAGATGTATTTATGAGTCTGTTTCAGGGGAAGGGCAGTCAGCAGGCAGCACGTTGGGGAGAGGCCTTAGGATTTGCATTAAGGCCTGAGCCTCTGAGTTAGGTCACTGCCCCGGCCCCCCCCCCCCCCCGGCCCCGTGTGACCTTGGGCAAGTCGCTGGCGCTAGTGGGACCTCAGGGTTGGGAGGGGAGCAGGAGGCCGCTGGGCAGCAAGGGGTGACGCCTGCCATTGGGGGTGGGGCCTCCTCCACTCCCTCCAGGGTACAGGGACCTTCAGAGGATGTAGAAACCATTGCTTCTAATTCGGGCGCTGCCGCTGGTGTTCTGGGGCGGTTTGGTCTCTCACCGCCGCTCCTGGAGCCTCATTTTCCGTGTTTGCGCAACGGAACGGGTGAGGGCTACTCCCAGGGTCTGCGGAGGTGCCTGTGAGAAACTGGCGGGTGGATGGTGCTAACGACAGCAGTACAGCTCCTGTAGGTGGCTGGGGACCCGGTGTGTGCCAGCGGGAAGCGGCACTTCACCTGCTCCTCTGCAGAGCCCTGTGAGGGAAGGCTGCTATTGGTCCCATATTTTTAGCCTGGCGAGGGAACTGGGGGTCAGAGTGCTCACGAGACCCCCGACCATGGACTCAGGGGCTGGCGTGGGCCCCTCACCCGCTTCCCTTCTGGCTTCCAGGCCTGTCCCGGCCGGCCGCTTCCTGGTCTGTGAACTTGGGATAACAAAGCCCACCCCGCGGGCCTGTGGGCACAGGACTAGGGAGACACCCGGGTGGCATGGGCAACGACGCTCCCAGGGCACGGCGAGGGCCCAGTGCGCAGCAATTGCGTTCAATAACCCCAGGAGTTGTCGGCCCCTTTGTGCCTCAGTTTCCCCACCTCATAAAGCAGCAGCACCGACGTCACGGGGTTACAGGAGCTCTTCTGGGGGGAAGCAGCAGCACCCTGCCTTGCTGCCCGGGCCTGGCTCTCTGGGACCCCGGGTTTCCGACATCTAGCAGCGGGCACTTTGAGCCCATGGCCACAAAGCCTCTCTTTCCAAATCCAGACAGGACAGGGCAGAGCGTCAGGAAGGGAGCAAAGTGGGCGGTCACAGTCCCCGGACAGTTGTTCTCCGAGTGTGATTGGGCCCAGCAGCAGTGGCGGCAGCACCTGGGAATTCGTTAGAAATGCACATTCTTGGGCCCCAGCCCAGAGCCACTGAATCCGAAACCGGGACAGGGCCCAGCCATCCGATTGAACAAGCCCTCCAGACGCTTCTGAGGCCCATTCCAATTTGGAAGCCTGTGTCCGGAATACCGTCCATTTCATCCAAGCTTTCAAGTTCATTGTTACAATGCTGGAAACCCTCTCGTCATTTGAAACTCTCATGTGAATCTGAGTTAGAATGGTCAGCATTTCATCCCCAGCGGTGCCTTTTGACCTTATGGGCCAAAGGTTTGTCTATTTCATTGGTCTTAAAAGACATTTATTGCATTATTTTCTTTCTTTATGTCACCTTTCAGGAACGTCTTGATTTATTTTTATCAATTAATATTTTTGTTGAAGTAAAAATGGAGTTCATTTTTTTTCAATCTTTATTTTTTTAAAAATAAACATATTTAAGGCCATAAATTTAAATGAGCATCTTTTTTGGGCCAAATACATTTTGATGCGTATTTGGTGTTCCTGAGATTGTAATTTTGCTCTCTGCTTACCTGCTATCAATTGGACAATCACACACACACACACACACACACACACACACGAAAAATCAAAGTTCTAAGAACTGGGCGCCTGGGGCCAGGTGTCCTGAGTCCAGAAGGACTTCTGGGATACAATGTATTCTTGACAGACAATGGCCCATGGGGAAGCCAGGAGAAAGGTCAGAGCTGGCAGAAGCCTTGCTGAGAGTCAGGTAGGACGGGGGCAGCCTTCAGGGATGAGGGGCAGGGTGCTGGAATTTCCAGCTGCGCACGTGCAGGAGGCTTGCTTTACCATTGACTTCCTGTGCAAACTGAACTCAATTTCCCTGTCTGTAAAACGGGGTAGAGATTGAATCAGGGCTCTTAAACATACTTGGATCAGCATTCGAAAGACTGATGAGACCATTACGGACCTCTTGCAGAGACAAAGACACACGTGGCTCAGGGCACGTGCGGAGTCCCGGGTCGCTCACCTGCCCACCCTCCGTTCTTTGTTCACACGCCGAGTCAGCATCTCCAGGGCCCCTGCACTTCTCCTGGTGGAAGGCTCTAGAGACACCTGTTGAAAATGATCACTCATTTATCCATTTACTCAGCAAGTATTTACTACTGAGCACCTATCCAAACTTCCTGACCCTGTCCCAGCTTTGGGCCTCGGTCTCCCCATCAAGAGCAGACCTAGTGCCGTTTGGGCTCTTTATCTCTGCCTCCCCTGCTGCATGGGCTAGGGGAAGAACCTTCCTGAGGGGTCTGGAGGGCCCAAGACTCTGCCAGCCAGAGGAAGGCAAAGGCCACCTGGGGCTGGGTGCTTCTCAGTGTCCCCCCCCCGCCCCAAAAGCCATGAGACTTAAAGGACAGTTGGTCCAGGGAAGCGAGGCCCGTTTGCCTAGGCATGCAGTTGGGGAGGCAGGAGCTGGGATCTGAACTCAGGACTGACTTGTCTGCAAAGCCCAGACTTCCCGCCTTGTGCCATATCCCCAGTTCCCCCTGGGAGCGGGTAGGAAGGACTCTCCATCACAGGGCCCAGTGGGGGAGGGGAACGAGTGGAGGGTCTGGGTGAGGGAGCCCAGGAGTGGGGCAAGGGCCGGCTATGGCGGGGCTCCCTTCTGTCTCCCCCACTGGCCCGGAGTTCCTTCAAAGCCAGACAATGCCGGCGGCATTTGATTCCATGTCCTGGGCCCGGGCCCGGGCCCATGGCCTGGCCTCCTGGAGGGTCATCAAGAGTCTGCGCCATTGAGCTGAAGGGCACACACCAAGGTCAGATGACAGGATGGGGAAAGGGGGTCGGAAGTGTGTCCGGGAATTTGCCTGTGCTCAGCTGAGCACCCACTCCTCCCAGCTCTCGGGCTGGAGCCTGTCCGTCCTGGAAGACCAAGGTCAGCAGAGGCCTTGCGGCCCATCCTCCGCAGCACCCCCACCCCCACCGCCCAGCATTCCCCATCCCTGTGGACTTTCTTCATTGCCCTCCTTGCCTTTGGAGCCTAGGTCTCCCATATCCTGCTCTCCAGCTGAGGACAGAGACTCGTCTCATGCACTCCGTCCTCTGCGGCAGGTGAACGGATAGGCGAACGCATACTTTCCAGGATCCGGGGACCGAGTCAGACCAGGCCCTGGCCTTGGGGGTGCCCCCTGGCAGGGAGGCTGGCAGCAGCCTGAGGAGGCTGGCCAGGGCGCTGGGGCTGGAAGAGGCTGTGAGGGCAGAATGGGGAGGGGAGGAGATACCTTTCCCCATGGACGGCTGGTGGAAGACGCAGAGGGCGTGTGAGCGGGGGCTTGGTGCGGGGCGTGCAGGGT